GCAGGGGAGGGGCAGAGAGAGAGGAAGACACAGAATCCAAAGCAGGCTCCAGGCTCTTAGCTGTCAGCACAGAGACCAGCACAGGACTTGAACTCACGAACGGTGAGATCATGACCTGAGCTGAAGTCAGACACTTAACTGAGCCACCCAGGCTCCCCTGTATTTATTATTCCTTAAAGATTCATAGATTCCTGCCATCTGATTTCTGATTTCGCTAACTGGATACAGCTTGGTGGCTCGTGGGCCAGTACTGATTTTTTCACTGAGGAGGTTTTTGAGTTTTAAGAAAAGCTCCATGGGACAGTCACTCTTTCATGTCCACGGTGTCTAAGTTCTCCAGACTTTGGGTGCCTGGAGCACCTGTCCTCCACAGGTGGACATGGGGCAGCATATTGCTGCAAAGGGGGGCAGCCAAGCCTCTCGACCCTCAGGTCTTTCAGTGCCTCCCGCAGCCACCCCTCCCCCAAGGGCAGGAGTGGATGCACCTGCAGTCTCCCAGCTGCCCCACTGGCTGGTGGCAGGCTGGTGCCCACTGTGTTTCCGAGCCACGTAGGAAGGTTCCCACTGGGTTTTAGGGTTCATGTTTGTTAGCCCTAGAATTCCAACAAGCCTCACTTACCATACACCGTCTTTGTGCCTAGGACAAAGCCTGGGCCATGGGGGAGTCAGAAGAAATAAAGAGATACGATCCTGGCTTATGAGAAAATAGTAATCTAGTTTAGGAGTCAAGGCCAAGGCGCCTGAAACAATTAGCAAACAAGGCATTGTTGTCCAGAACAGCATTACGCAGCAATATAATAAACCGTTCAATTATGCAGTGCAGACAGTTGGGAACCAGGACAGTATATAATGTGCTAATTGTGCAGAACAGACAATGAGGGGCCAGGACAGGCTCCAATAGCCTAATTATGTAGTGTAGACAATCGGTACAAAGGGAGCCAAGGAAAGGGACCTGGGGGAGGGGAGCGGGTATGGGCCCACAAGGGCAGCCGCTTATGTAAACGAACGGCCAGGCTTGAAAAGAAAAGCAAACCCTGGAAATCCTGCCCACGGTCCAGCTGCTCCTGGCTCTTCGATTGCATGTAGCAGATCTGAGGCTGTTTGCAAGTCTGGGAACACGTGGGCAAGAAAACAGAGCAGGGCTCTGCTGATTCCCAGGGCTCCAGTCCCACGTTGGCCTCGCCGGCTCTGTGGCCCTGAGCAAACTGGTTCACTTGCTGTCCTTCCGTGTCTTCAACTGCCAGATGGGGGGACGAGAGGGTAACAGCATCACCCAGCTGGCAGTGGGGTGGGAGTTTAAGGGACCAGAACACCTAATGGGCTTAGAACATGGGCGGGCACGTAGAAAGTGGTCAATAAATTACAGTTGCCGCAGCTGCTGGCTTTCACAGGTAAGGAAATGGCTTCAGAGTCTCAGACAAAGACAGCAGAGCGTGCATCCGCCTTTCTCTCCACCATCAGGAGCCTCACAGGAGGCCCTTTTCCTCTCTGGCGCCCTGTCCCTCATCTTTGAATGACGTTGGACTGGGCTAGGTCAGCATTCCTAGGCAAGCTAGGTCAGCCCCTTGAGCACTGAGTAGAGCCTCAGAAAAGAAAGGTGCACTGCCCTGTTTATTTCAGGCTAATGTTGTTTACATATGTGCAAACATAAAACTGTAAATCAGGGCTTCAGCCTCTGGCTCTCACACAGCTACAAAGTGGGACAGAACAGAAAGCCATCAATGAGGGAAATGCATTGCTACCACATCAGTAAGATCCCTTGGAACATTAGAGATGTAAAACCCTAAATTAAAATTTATAATTCCACCTTTTTCCCTTTCATGAGCCCAGGATAATTAAAGTCCAGTGTCTGGGGCCCAGCTGAGTTGTAAACACAAACCCCAACATGGGCCCCTGAAGAGAGGAGAGCCGTGTGGCCAAGGCCAGGGTCCCTACTGGGGAAGGCGTGGACACAGGGCCTCGTTCCTCACCTGAACGAGGACCAGGTAGTCAGGCTCCCTCCTGGCTACAGCTGCTCCAGAATCGGGCACTGGGATGAGAAACATAAAGGGCGGAGCCTGAGTGGTTGGCCCTTGGCCTGGGAACTTCCTTTGCTCTCTCCCCTGTGTAGATCTTCGGTTTCCTGGCCACCTTCCTCTGCCTGGCGAGCATATGGCTGTCCTACAAGATCTCATGTGTCACCCAGTCAACAGGTGAGTTCCAGCTGCCCCAACACAGACCGTCTCTGAAAGTTCCCTCTGCTGGGGCACAGGAGGATGGCCTGTTCTGGAGTTCAGCAACAGGGAAGGGCCCCCACTGTGAGGCGGGGCCCTGCTCTAGTCCTGTTTAGACAGCCCAGGACACCCTCACCTGTCAGCCTCTAGTGGTGAAGCATTTCCTTTTTTTTTTTTTTTCAATTCTTTAAAGTTTATTTACTTATTTTGAGAGAGCGAGTGAGCGCGAATGGGGTAGGGGCAGAAAGAGGGGGAGAGAGAATCTCAAGCAGGCTCCGCACTGTCGGCACAGAGCCCACTTCGGGGCTCGATCTCACAAACCATGAGATCATAACCTGAGCTGAGATCAAGAGTCTTCCCAGGCGCCCTGGGGAAACATTTTCTTTAAATAGGTTCCCTAATAACAGGACTAAAGTGTAGAGAATCTAGAAAATACAAGTAAGGAAAACAAAATATTTTTAATGAAAACCATCTGTCCTACCACTACCCAGAAATAGCACCTGTTGGGTGTCTGTCCTTCCAGCATTTCCTCTTGGATGGATGGATGGATGGATGGATGGACGGACAGATATATAGATACATATGTTGCTTTTATTAAAGGATCAAACTTTAGGTATTATTTGTAACCTGCTCTCATTCTCTTACTTAACCACCTATCAGGCATTTCCCCCACATGTCTGGGCATTCTTCTCCATCATGTTTTTTTTTTTTTTTTTTAAAGACTTTATGTACGAGATTTTATTTTTAAGTAATTTCTATGCCCAACCTGGGGCTCGAACTTAACCCCAAGATCAAGAGTTGCATGCTCTAAGGACCGAGCCAGCCAGGCACCCCTTTTCTCCCATCGCCTTTTTTTAAGTGTTTATTTATTTTTGAGAGTGAGCATGAGCCGGGGGAGGGGCAGAGAGAGAGGGAGGCAGAGGATCTGAAGCTGGCATGGTGCTGACAGCAGAGCCCAATGCGGAGCCAGAACTCATGAACTGCGAGATCATGACCGGCACCGAAGTCAAACACTTAACTGACCGAGCCACCCAGATGTCCCTCCTATCACTTTTAATGGCTCTGTGCTGTTGCATTGACTCCAGTGCATGTCTGTGTCATAGTTTACTTGTTTCCTATCTGGGGTCATTGTGTGTGTGTGTGTGTGTGTGTGTGTGTGTGTGTGTGTGTTTCTTAATTCTTTGCTGCTAAACAGTGTTGTAAACACCCTTGTAAATATATCCCCATACTCATCCCTAATGTTTTATCTCTAGAATGCTTTCCTAGAAGTAACAGTGCTGAGAGCTTGACCCAGTTATTTTGATTAATCCACCTCTTTCTGTACCCCAGCCCTTTCTTTCTTGGTTCTTTTTCTTTCTCTTAGAAAAACAACTACAAGAGTATCAGAGCATGTACAGCGCATGGTCTGAATTGACCTGAAGAAAGGTTGTTTTCATCAGCTTCCGTTTCCCTCTAGAAGTCACTGACTAGAAGGGAACAGGACGTTGATGGGAAGGAGTCCCAAGCCACCCCAGGCTGTAGGATTCTGTTTACGTGAACCGGGCAGAAGAGGCAGGTCCAAAGAGGCAGGAAGTAGGTCAGAGATTGCCAGGAGCTGGGGAAGTGACTGCAGATGGGTATGGGGTTTCTTTTGGGAGGGATGAAATATTCTACAAGTGTGGCAGTCGGTGCTTGCCAGTCCTATGAGTACATGAAAACTGGAAACCTGCGCTTTAGGTGGGTGAATGGTACGGTGGGTGGATTTTATCTCGCTAAAACTGTTTAAGGAAAAAATCAATGAGGGGCACCTGGGTGGCTCAGTCTGTTAAGCATCCAACTTCAGCTCAGGTCATGATCTTGCAGTTCGTGGGTTCAAGCCCTATGTTGGGCTCTGTGCTGACAGCTCTGAGCCTGGAACCTGCTTCTGATTCTGTGTCTCCCTCCTTTTCTGCCCCTCCCCCACTCACATTCTGTTTCTCAAAAATAAACATAAGGGGCACCTGGGTGGCTCAGTCGGTTGAGCGTCCGACTTTGGTTCAGGTCATGATCTCCCAGTTCGTGGGCTCGAGCCCCGCGTTGGGCTCTGTGCTGACAGCTCAGAGCCTGGAGCCTGCTTCTGATTCTTTGTGTCCCTCTCTTTGCCCCTCCCCTGCTCATGATCTGTCTCTCTCTGTCTCTCAAAAATAAATAAATGTTAAAAAAATTTTTTAATTAAAAAAGTAAAAATGAGGGGTGCCTGGGTAGCTTAGTCGGTTAAGCGTCTGACTTTCGCTTAGGTCATGATCTCGCGGTTCGTGGGTTCGAGCCCCGCGTCGGGCTCTGTGCTGACTGCGGGCTCAGAGCCTGGAGCCTGTTTCAGAGTCTGTGACTCCCTCTCTCTCTGACCCTCCCTTGCTCATGCTGTCTCTCTCTCTCCTAGAAATAAATAAAACATCAAAAAAATTTTTTGAAAAAAGTAAAAATGAAGAAAAGTAGAGAATGTAAAAATTATTGGTAGTATCTCAAGGTGATGACTTACAATTATGAAGGAAGAGCCAACAGACCCCACTAACACAGTGGAAGTCCCTCCAAGGATAGGCCCGGGTGGGGAAGACCAGGGATAGAAATCTCCCCCCACCGCGTACTGATGATTTTTTTTCTTTTAGAAATGTATTTAGAAAGAGAACACGAATTCCAAGGGCAGTTGGTGCTGGGTGGAGGAAGGAGTGCGCCAAGCAGAGCTGGGGTCCGGGGGTAGCCTCCTGGTGTGTGGCTTCTGGGGGGCCCTTCCTACCCGCAGTCCTCTAACTTGGCCGTTGCCTTCCCAAGATGCCGCTGTGTGAGGACACCCTACGTCCGGCCCGAGGCGCTGAGATGGAGCATCGGGCGGCCCCTGGACGGCCTTCGGACCCTCTGCTCTGCGCCAGAGCCCCACCCCCATTGCCAGGCACGAGAGGGACCTTGGCAGCCTCCAAGCCGCTCCCAGCCTCCCTTCCCCGTCTTCCTTGGTCCTCCCCGCCTGGGAACGAAGAGCCGCCTCCAGGGCAGCCAGGTCTCTCCCTCCTGCTTTTAGAACCAGTGGCCTCAGGGACTGATGACCCCACTTACCTACCACAGGGGAGGGCTTTCTGAATCCTCCTGCCGAAATCTGCTTCTACTCCACGTTCCTCAGGGGGTGAAGCTGCCTTAAGTCCCCTTACAAAAACAAAGCCATCTCTGGGGCGCCTGGGTGGCTCAGTCCATTAAGCGCCTGACTTCGACTCAGGTCATTGATCTCACAGTTCGTAAGTTCAAGTCCTGCGTCGGGCTCTCTGGTGAGAGCCTGGAGCCTACTTAGGTTCTGTGTCTCCCCCTCTCTCTGCTCCTCCCCTGCTCCCGCTCTGTCTCTTTCTCAATAATAAATAAATATGAAACAAAAATACAAAGCCATCTCTTAATTTATCCAGCTTGGGAAAAAGCCCCTCTTGAGGAGACTAGACCCTCTTTCTTAAGTGAGGCATGCCTCCTCTCAGGCCCCTGATGTAATGACCATTGTGAGTGTGTGTGTGGGCGTGTGGCAGGGGGCATGTGTGTGTTTTGTAAGAAAAATATTGGCCAATTGAGCGAGGATTTATTAGATGAGAAAGCTGTACACCAGGAGTCGAGTGACAGGGCCACAAAGCTCATGGGAAAGCACTTGATGCACCCAGGGCGCCGACCCCCCCAGTTTGTGTGCACCACCCCCTGCCTCCCCAGAGATGAGTGCAGTAAAGGATGAAGACATTGGCCCCTCAAGATTTGCATATTTTCAGAGTAAATGGATGTTAAGGCTGGAAGCCAGTGCTGTTCACACAAGACCTAATAGAGCAGCAGTCAGGAGCAGCACAGGTGGCCTTAGAGAAGAAGGAAGGACATTCTGGTACCAACTACACAGCACAGATGAGCCTCCAGGACGTCGTGCTGAGTGAAATAAGCCAGATACAGAAGGACAAATACTGCATGATGCCGTTTCCAGGAGGTTCCTAGAGTTCTTAAAATTCAGAGACTGAAAGTAGAAGGATGGTTGGTGGAGCCTGGGGGGGGAGGGGTTGAGGAATGGGAGGGGGTGATTCACAGCCTGCTGCGGGAAGATGGAAATATTCCGGAGATGGATTATGGTGGCGACTGCACAGCCATAAATGAAATTAATGCCAGTGAGCTGCACCTAAAAGTTGCAAATGTGGTTAAGTTTTATGTTGCCATTAAAAAAAATTTTTTTTAAATGTTTATTTTTGAGAGAGAGCACGATTAGGGGAGGGGCTGAGAGAGAGACACACACAGAATCTGAAGCAGGCTCCAGGCTGCACAGAGCCTGACACAGGGCTCAAACCGTTGAACTGTGAGATCATGACCTGAGCTGAAGTCGGTGGCTTAACTGACTGAGCCACCCAGGCACCCCATTACGGACTGACGTTATAATAAGCAAATGTTATAAATGTAAGTTGATCGTTTATGTTAACATCATACTTCCTGTTTTATATAATGGAGTTTCATATGATCTACATTGAAAAAAGGGGATTTCTCTGCTTTAAAAAATAAAAACACGTTCAGAAGCCCCTGAAAGGAAGGCAGCTGCCGGGCGGGTACCCTGGGGGGCTAGACAGAGCAATGCGACCAGGTTGGAGGCAGCCAGACACTGAGTGGCTTCCTCACGAAGACCACCGGCGGAGTAACTGGAGCCCGTGGACCTTGTAAGATCAATGAGGCAACTGGTGGCTTGCTGGGGTTTTAATGTCAATTTCTGTGTATATGAAAATTATGCAAATGAAAAAGACCACAACTCCACGCAGAGGTGTGCAGAAAAGGTAACGTCGCGGTGTGACCGAGCCCTTTGGCCCAGTTCTGTAGAGCGGTAACAGCCAGAATAATGGTCACGCTGAATACCGATCTGACCATAACTATTAAAAACCCTCGTTGCGCGGCCAGGGGCGCATGTGGAGGGCGCAGCAGCCCAGGGCTGCCCGATGCCCCAAGTGTCGGAGAGAATTTTTAGGCTAAACATTTCCAGAGTTTTAAAGGTTGCCAAATAAACTTTTGAAAGAGATACATCTCTTTCAAACCAAACGCGTGCGGAGGCTTTGTACAGCCCGCGGGCCTTCAGTCTGCGACCCTGCCTGGCCTGGCGGTTCTGGGACAGGAAGGAGGGTGTCGGGCAGCAGGAAGTCAGGGCTGAGGCCGGAGCGCGCAGAGGCTTCTCAGGCCGGCACCTGCTTCCTCCCGAAACCCCAGGCCAGTCCGCGGGGCGGGGGCCCTCCCCGGGGTCCCCTGACAGCAGTGTCGCCTGCTGGCGCCCTGCCACCCGTCGCAGCTGGCCTCAACTTTACTTTTGTGAAAACAAAACCCTGGTGGTGGCCGCCCTGAGCGCCCTCTCCTAGCAGTGTGCGCCCTCTTGTGACAGCGGGGAGCAGCGCGGCCTTTAACCGACCTTGAACAGTGACTGCTTCCCGTTGCCTCACCCCTCCGGGTTCTCCTCTCCCCGCATAACCTCCAGACCCTTCCACCAACCGCATCTTTGCTTTTCTTAATATGTAACTTGACTGCAATTACATGGATTGCCTAGAAAGTGGATATAATTCCGGTAGGTACCTGTAATTAAACGAAACGGCCACTTTCATTCACTTACGGTTATGTCGCTGTAACAGACACCCACCCCCCTTCATGCGGCGCGGTACATCCTCTTGGCCTCACCTCTCTCTTCATCCAGCCACCACTGCAGTGCCAGTCCTGCGAAGGCTATGACCAACTGCATGCCACGGTGACCACACAGCTGTGCTCCACGCCTCCACAGGCGCCTCTCGACTCCTGGGGGAGCTTTCCTGTGGATACTGCCAGGGACCCATGCAGCACCCACACGTGTGACCTCCAAGGGCGGGGGAGCTCCTGCCCTGGGGTGTAATACTGGCCAATGGGACACAGGAGTCAGTGGCTACATCTGTCCTCTCCAGTGACAGACTGTCCCAGGGCAAGTTTTACGCCACTTTTCCAAGGACAGTTCCATGGGACCAGGTCACCACCAGTCACACAGTGGTGGCCAACTCGGTAACACATCCTCCTATCGGCTCTCTCCTCAGCTTCACCTGACACAGGTGGGTCAGATGCCTCGTGGGCCCAGGCAGGAAGTATGTGGTGGCTGCAGGAATAGCCTTACTGAGTGGTGGCCTTGGAAGACAGGAGTGAGGGGGAAGAGGTGGAAGAACTCCAATGGCCAAAGCCCTGTGCAAGGCATCTGATCATCTACTTTGGTGCAAGTGGCCCAATGGGAAAATACACAGCCTTGGGGACAGGTGAATGGCCAGGGGCCTAGAAAGAGAAAGGCCAGGAAGGCCCCCGAGGGGAGAAAGGCACTAAAATTCTCAATCATGCAAATCATCTGAACAATCCGCGGATTTCCTCCTGGGTAATGAGGCCTCTGAATGCCACGAACAAAGCCCAGAGAAAACCCCCTGCACACATGCATGTATTTTATGAATAAAAGCTCAGGGACCCACAGAATTAAAGGGCCAGGTGGAGGAAGGCACACAGAGCAGAAGCGAAAACCTGGAGTGGATCTCACAGCTCCTGTGGAGCAAAGACTTGCATCAGAGCTGATACCACCCAGACCGCACTAATTAGTGGGAGGACAAGGAGGGGAAGAATCAGGTATGAGACTGGGTCTCCAGATTCAGCCCCATGTATTTCTAAACTTACAAGATGCTGGCTGCAGTTCTGTGGCTCTGCGGACATTAGGTTTGTTTTTTGGTCTGGACTCTGCTCCCTGCTCTTTTGCAAGAATGCTGCTGGCGGGATGCACTCACTGCGACCAACCCCTTTGGGTGGCTCATAGAAGGGTTAGTCAGAGGCCGAGCCGAAAATGGTGTTTACCCATGAAGCTTGCCAAGCACTAACAATGGAAACCATGTCTTTTCCTGAGAGAAGAAAAACACACTGTCTTCTCACAGGAGGTTTCATATGGCCAGGGGTGCCGCGCAGAGCTCCAAAACTCCAAGGTTGAACGCCCTTGCGGGCCAGCGGAAGCTGGCTTCATTGTAGACCATGGAGGCTTAAAGAACGTGGTCATGTCCACTTCCCGTGCCTGACACCATCGAAATGAATGAATGTGCTGCCATCAGTCCTGGTTCTCGGTTTGCAACCCAGGGTACTAACACTGTTTTAGATCTCCTGTTTAGGGGTGGGGGCAGAGGTGTGGAGTGGGGGGATCTGCCTTCACCTGACAGCCGAAAGTACACTCTGATTCTCCGGTGATCGTGCATCAGTGGAGAGGACACAGCTGGTCTGATATGAACTCTGGGCAGTTATGTAAGCATTCCCGTAATGGCGCTACAAAGAAAGCTGCTTTTGCAGCATTACATGCCACCCAGGCACAGCCGCCAACAGACAGGTGGGACCCTAAATGGGCACGGGGTCCAAGTGTCCTGCCTTCCACACAACCATCTTGGAAGGCTGTGTCACAGCTCAGGGAGCTATTTCACGGTTAAGTTAGGACAAACTCTGTAGTAGCCACCACTACAAAGCAGTGGCCCCACGCCAGAAGGGGCTGATGTGCATATTAGCTATTGGAGACAGTCCATCCAAACTTGGGGGTACTCCCACGGCCTCCAAGTCATCAGACTGACAATGACATCTTAGAAGCAATTCAGGCAGCAGGAGATGCCTCACCCTGGAGCCTCCATCTCCTTCAGACTTTAAGGAACCACAGGTGTCCGATGGCAGTTGACTGGCACCTTTCACAGTGAAAACTCCTCCACCTCTGACCTTTCGGCTTGAGAACTTCCTCTCACTAGCATTACTGAGCTCCAAATGAAAGTCTCCGATCTGACATACTCATCTTGCAATTCTGAACTAGATTCCATAGGTGGGACAAGTTCCAGAAAGTCCTATTGTGAGAAGAAAATAGATCTTCCGATTAAGGGCCAAACCCAGCCCCTGAGCCTGTAACCATCTTAACAGGTGGTCATCCGCCCACTACACAGAAATAGCGCTTTCCCTAATGAACTGCTGGTTTAATGAAGAACTTGCGGATCACAAGACTCAATGATGAAAGAGCCCCCCGCCCCCACCCCCTCCAAGGCAACCAGGTCCTCTACGATGCTGTAGCCATCCAGGGATGGTCAACGGGTCAGGGCCCACAGCAGTGGATACCCCATGCAGTAGGCTGAACACTGAGACTTCTGGCCACGTGCACCACCCCAAGATTTAGTCAACAATATCTGTACAGCAGCTCATGCGATGCCATTGATGGCCTAGCCATGTGGTCAGGTGTTTGGGCCACCC